TTATTATCAATATTATTATCAATATCATTATCATCATCGTTGTTATCATTATTATCATTATTAATAATATTATTGTCAATATCATTGTCATCATCGTTATCATCAATGGTTGTTCCCAGCGCCGAAACCCCGGGGCGGCGACCTTCTGGTGACCTCCTATGACATGATGGTCCCGTGGCTGGGCGAGGGTCTGATCACCACCAACGGCGATCACTGGGCCAGGCAGCGACATCTGCTCACGCCCGCCTTCCACCTCGACACGCTCCGGGCCTACCACGACATCAACAACTCCTGTGTCGACGTTATGATGGTGAGTGCGAGGAACTAATGACCCGAGTCCACCTGTTAGGTATATTCTGTTATAACAAACTATCGTTACTGGTGCGTCAAACGTCATGATGGTGAGTGCCGGGAACTAATGGTGCAGGCTCGTCTTCTGTTGTAACAAACTATCGTGTATTGTATTATGGTACTATATTACGTTCTATCAAACTAGCAGCAACTTGTGGCGTAGACGTTGTGACGTTGAGTGAGGAGAACTAATTGCCTGTCTGGCTTCTGTTATAATAAACTATCGCTACTGTTGCGTTAAACGTTATGATGGTGAGTGCCAGGAACTAATGGCACTGGTCCGCCAGTTAGTTATCTTCTGTTGTAACAAACTGAGGGGAACTAATGGTACAGGCCTGTCTTCTGTTATAGTAAACTATCGTTACCCGTGTGTAAAATGTTATGATGGTGAGTGCCGGGAACTAATGGTACAAACCCGTCTGTTTATTATTAATTACGTTCTATCAAACTATCAACAACTTGTCATGTAGACGTTGTGACGGTGGTTGGGTAGAACGAATGGTACAGGCCCGTCTTCTTTTATAACAAACTATCGTTACCCGTGTGTTAAATGTTATGATGGTGAGTGCGGGGAACTAATGACACTGGTCCACCAGCTAGTTATCTTCTGTTATAATAAACTATCGCTGGTGGTGCGTTAAACGTTATGATGGTGAGTGGGGGGAGGGGAACTAATGTTATATGCCAATCTGTTCGTTATCGTCTCTTCTAACAAACAACCAACAACTTATCACGTAGACGTTGGGATGGTGGGAAAAAATATCACGTATTTTTGTTTTTATTAATTTTTGGTCTTGTGTGCCTTTTTCAGCTGCCATGTTTATGATCTTATAATTTGTATCAGACAATAGTTGACTGAGAGAATGTGAGTAAGTAGGTACAATGATATTTCAGCACTAAGATGGAACAATAAGTGAATATGAATAACAATTATTAGATCTATTTGTTAGTATTTGATTATTTACAGTGCAGTTAGGTCTCCCCCCCCCCCCATGCCAACAGGCAGTCGTGTGGGTATAGGAGTGGGACACATACCAAGACAAATGACGTCACTATCCTGTTCATAGAACTATACACCCCGGCATACAGGACGCATGCACGAAGGATAAGGCGCTGGTAAACAGGAGAGCCAGCATAATATGTCCTATCTTTGGCGTCGTGCACAGATCGTCTTAGTGCCAGAATGTTCTAAATTCACTGTTTTGGCTGATAAGAATCTATACATAAGATATAGTATGTCCCAGTCAGACAATATTACACACACGCGCGCGCGCGCACACACACACACACACACACACACACACACACACACACACACACATACACACACACGCACACACACTCACAAATACACACACACATACAAATGTCCTGGACCCTGTCCCCAGGATCGTCTGCGAGAGTCCAGCAAAGACGGCCGGTCGGTGGATCTGTACCAGTTCATGTACAAACTGACGCTGGACATCATTCTACAGACTGCCTTCTCCTACAGCTCCGGCTGCCAGATGGAAGGGTGAGGGCGGGGATAAATTTAACATGCTTACCTCAATGTCTCTATGTATGTCACGACGCGGTAGAATCAGGTGCTCGGCAATTTTTGGTTACGTGGAGTTATTGGTATCATCTAAAAGCTTATTTGTTTGCAGTACTTTCAATTTTTAAAATACCCATTTATCTTGAATAGTAGTCGAGGTATTTGCGATTGAAGAAAGTGGGGTCGCTTGGTTTCTGTGGTAGAATTACCAAGAAAATGGCCGCCAAAGTTTGGTAACTTTAATCGCTTGAGAGTCGTTGAAAACTGAAAAATTACATATTTTGCGCCTTTATTCAAAGTTTTTCAGTCAAATTCACATAGCAATATGTTTTATAAGGGCATTAAAGATGGTGAGCCTAAAATCAAACTTTCGATAAAAATTGACAAACTGGCGGGAAAATGCACTTTTCTTCTATTTCATTATTTTGACAAGCGCCTGACTTCACCACGATGCCTCACA